CTTCGGTGCTTTCCTCTCTTAAGGCAAAAGTTTTAAACAAGAAGTGTTCTTATTTTTATGACAAAGATATAGTTATACCCTAAGAAAGATTCTGTGAAAATCACAGCTAACGCTGGCAACCGTATGCATTTAAATATCTGTGTTCACCGTAGCACTCTATAGCCGACAATAAAACATCACAGTGCAAGAAGGTTCCTCCTGCTTGCCACAAAAATTCATGACACAGAACTTTGTCATGTCCAAATGCGAAATGTGATTCACATTCGGAATGTGTCATAATTTGCACAGTCACACTATTAAAACTGGAGCTTCCTGATGTATACAGCTACATAACATCTCGGGCATGTTGATAAGAAATAAACCGTAACTGAGACGGCTGGCGGCAGCATCCAACTGGTTGGGACAAATTACATCTAACTGACTGCTGATGATTCCTGTTAATAATACTGTATTTTCTATGTCATTATATAAATAGCCCATAAAATCTCTATTACATCATGTCCACTACCACTCTTACGTAAGAGCCCTAGATGGATGTCTGGGGCTTAGCATAACCACCATGAGGACGATCACTCAAAAACGATAGCTACCCTCTAAATCTTCGGGAATGGAGCAGGGGAGGGGGTGAAGCGAAGAGGAGAGAAGAAAGGGTGAAAAGTTAAAAATGAGCATATACTGAGGTGTAGGTCTTCGGAATACTCTCACTGATCCTGGAAATTTCTGGCGCCTGAAATCGACTTGAGTTCAGAGATATTTCCCACCTACGCATACACACTAAACACAGGTTCCAGATCTCTACTGCATGTTTTGGGCATAAAACAACCAAAAGATGACAATGGAAACAGCCGTTCTCTGTGGGATTGATTATCGGAATATAACAGCTTCACACACAAAGATCTGTGAAGAACAAAAGTCGATTTGCACATTCAATTCTAATAAAACTTGCCCCATTTCCCCTTAATGAAGCAACCCTCCCCCCCACCGGCATTATTACATGCAAGAAAGAATGGTAAATGCCATACAAAAGCTTTTGATAGTTATCAGGATAAAGGAAGGTATGATTACCTCTGCTTAGGGTCAGTGGTAAAGGGGAAGAGACAGATGTGCCCATGAAAGAGAGGATGGAATTCACATGCCGAGCCTCTAAGGCTTCATCAATCCTCAAATCGACAAATATTTCTCTAGTGGGGTGGCAGGAGGGGAGAGCCATTCTGAGGGACAGAGTTTATGTCCGGTTGGATTGCTACCTTTGATTAACTGAATATTAAATGAGTTGTACAATGATCTCGTGTTCTTTACTGGGGGGCTAACGTATCCACCATGAAGTTCGTTTTTTTTTGTTTTTTTGTTTTTAAAAAAAAGGTGGAGATCACAAGTAGGCAGAGAAGCAGGCAGAGGGTGGGGGGAAGCAGGCTCCCTGCTAAGCAGAGAGCCTGATGCGGGGCTTGATCCCAGGACCCTGGAATCATGACCTGAGCCGAAGGCAGAGACTTTAACCCACTGAGCCACCCAGGCGCCCCAACACCATGAAGTTCTTATTGACATTCTTTAACCCCTGGAAGTCAGCAGAGAGTTATAGCAAACCTGCCTCGATCCGAACGTCTGTCCCTCACATCCTGGCGCTTTCATCTCATCCCTGGATAGGGATATTTGTTACCAAATTTTCTTTCCATTCAAGCAGCTGTGTTTGCCTTGAACAGACATTCTTCTCTACACGTCACTTCAGTTCCAGAGGGAAGAAATGCTGCCACAGGAAGGAGGCCAGTGGATGTGCCTCCCATATTAACATCATGCAGAGGAAAACACTACTTAAAATTTTAAACCACCTTTACTCAATAATAAACACTGGTTTCATAGATCAACCACGGACACTGACATTTACAACCTACCAATTGTCCTGCGTTTCCTATGCATAACTTATAAGTTCAAAGCTTTTCATGTTTTAGTGAAGCTTAATTGCTCTTGTGATGAATGGTATTTTTTAACTGATTGGAGCATTTGCTAACCCAACTTTACAAAATCACCCAGCATCACACACAGACTGTGTCTGCAGATCTAACTCAAGCCAGAGCCACGCCGGTGTTGAATTTACCTTATAATTCTATAAATTATCCCAAACTTCTCTTTGGGGAAGATCAACAGTCACTTCCCCTTTATCTCTATTGCTAGCACGAGTATTTAAAATTTCCGAATTTCCAGAGCCAATCTTTCACAAAGAAATAGCAAGTGTTTATCACTTAACTGGATGTAGATGCTGGGTGAGTCACTGGCTTCCTCCTAGCCAGCTGATTTCTTTCCATGTACCAGCCTCATAGCATTTACTTAAAGAAAATTAGAGATGGTACATAGAATAGGAATCTTAACTAATTCATGACCAAATAAAGCACATGTTTTAAATCCATGTATGTTCCTACTAGACTTAATTTAGAAATGTTGCCGGTCCTTGTATATGAATTTCAATAGATAATGGAAACAGTAACTCAATGCTCTGCTTTTCCTACTAATTCTGGGTCTTTGCTCAGAAACCTTCTCTGGGACAGATTTTCTTAAAGTTCTTTTCCTTTATACTTGTTCTCTTTCGCACTATCCACTCTCAAACTGGTCTAAAATAAAATTGGTAACATTTCCCTCTAATATAAGTATACCTTCTTAGTGCCTTACCCACATTTTATTACATATTATATGTTGTTTATATGATATGATACTGTGTGTTACATATGCGTACATGGTATCTGTCTCTCTCTCTCTCTCACACATGCACACCCCTCCCTCACCTACAAGAGAGTGAGCCCCTTGAGGGCAGAAACCATGTTTTAATTTATCTTTCTAATCTAGTGCTTTTCACAGTGCCAGAGATTGTAAATAAATGTTGCTGAATAAATAAAAGTTGAACTTTCTCAAGACTAGTAGTAAAAATCCTTTTTGTTTTTCATGGATACTTCTTTGGAGATAAAAATGGTTTAAACTTACTAACCAAATAACGTGCTATGAATTACGTAGGAACAAGCTACCATTACTCCAATACTTCAGGAAGGAAGAGTGAAGGAAAAGATATTTCTTATTTATTCAGGGTTCCACACTGGCCACTGAGAAGTCGGTTGTTAGAAGGTGGATATGCTAACTGGCAATGTTGTACTCTGTTCATTAGCTGACGTCGCTCACTTGAGCATCTCATATTCTCTGTATGTTCTAAAGTTTCTTCGGTACAGTATGCCTTGTACTGAGAAAGAATATCAATCGGTGCAGTCAAGAAAGGAGTTGCTTCTCCCTTTCCTTTTGTGTGATGGACGTCAGCATTATTCTCTTAGCTTTTCAGGTGTGACAAGGGACAATATGTTTTAGTGACTGTGAGAAACCATGAAGGATGCCACTGCTTTTAGACAGTGTAGGAGCAAATGGCTATATTCTCTGTGCTCCATTTCCCCCTCTGTGAAAAAGGAAAGCATAATATTTAACAACATCACCAAGCTATTGTGAGGGTTAATTAGATTTAATGGGGGAAGGGAGGTGAGCTGATTACACACTATTCAAATTCAAAGAGTCATTATTTTGTGTCTAAAAATAATCCTGATTTAGGAATAAAATTAATTTGGAAGCTCAATCTTTGGTAATCATCTTCCCACACTTAGAAAAAGCCATAGTTTTTAATCAAAAACCCATTCTAAGCACAATCCAATGAAGTACAAATGGAGATCTGTGAATTTCCATTCACTTTCCAAGTAATGCAGTGCACGGTTCACGTTTTTCTTTTCCTTTTCTTCCTTTTTGAAGATATGTGTGGAAGGGTTAGTTTTTTGGCATGGAATAATATAAACAAATACGGTACGTTAATTTTTTTGTTTGCTTCACATGAACATTTGTGAAACAGTTCAAACTACTTCTTCAAAGAATGAGTAGTCGATGTTTTTGTGACTGTAATAATTTTTCAGGTCATTTCTGGTAAGTTCCATTTATTTACTTATTTATTTTCAAGAACTAGTCAGTCAAGTATCTTTGACCTATGTCCTAATCCCTGGACCTCATGAATGTTACCTTCCATGGCAAAGTGGATTTTGCAGATATGATTAAGGATCTTGAGATAGGAAGATCATTTCAGGCTAACTAATGGTGGGCCTGAGATGGGATCCCAAGTGTCTTGGTAAAAGGAAGGCAGAAAGAGATCTGACTACAAAGGAAGGAGACAATGTGGTGATATCAGAAGCAGAGGGAGATAGGCATGTGATGTGGGGCCATAAGCCAAGGACTGAGAACGGCCCCTGTAAGACAGAAAATGCCAGGAATGGATTCTCCCCTAGAACCTTCAAAAGGAATCAACCCAGCCGACACCTTGATTAAGCCCCAATAAGACACCTTATTGGTGTCTTAATTCTGACCTCCAAAACTTTAAGAGAATAAATGTGTGTTGTTTTAAGCTAAAAGAAAAAAGAAAAAAAGAGAGAAAGAAGAAAGGAAAACAAAAGGTCTTCATATGCACTAACTTAAGAAAGAAAGAAAACAGAGAGAGACAGAGAAAGAGATAAAGAAAGAAGGAAAATTCCTAGATATTTGCGGCTAAGATGAGAAAAAAATCATCTAAATAATAATCATCAAAATTTATAATAGATCAATTTACTACAAAAATCTTTACAAGAAATGGAAGTTGACATCTGAGAAAAATTTCTGTTGTTGCCTAAATCTCACTAAGAACTTATAAAAGCTTCAAAAAAAAAAAAAGAAAAAGAAACATTCTTTAAAAATAATATAACAGTGGATAATCCTGGAAAATATGTCATATCTGTTAGGGGAAAAATGTTGCCTTAGTTTTTGGTGAGTAAAGGTCCGAGAAGGAACTTTATTGCTTCCATTTAGAACCTTCCAAAGGAAAGGGAGACTATGTAATTTGGTTAGTTGAAGTGTACTCTCTACAGAGAAGCAGAAATAATTCTCTCTTGTTTTAACATTACCCAATTAAAATTTCCCGTAAGACTTACAAATTTTTATAACTTAGACGGTATACTCACCAAGCAAACTTCTGATTATTCATTCGATTTCCCCGGACCCTTGATACTGGGGACGGATGTACCCTATAAGTAGATGAGAATAACCCAGTCATTAAATAAAGCACATTCCCAATTACAAATGAACAAATTAAAAAAAAAAAGAAAAAAAAAGACCTTGTTTGTAAACGATCTCTTGTAGGTATGCTTAATATAGAAAGCCCCAGAACTTAATCACCTCTTAGTAAATGAACACAGTTAAACTCCTATGCATGCAAACCTGCAGTCTTTCTCCTTTTGTACCACATTTATTATTTATTTCTTTATTTATTTAAAGATTTTATTTATTTGACAGAGAGAGACAGAGAGAGTAAGAGAACACAAACAAGGGGAGTGGGAGAGGGAGAAGCAGGTTTCCCAAGGAGCAGGGAGCCTGATGCGGGGCTCTGTCCCAAGACCCTGGGACCATAACATGAGCAGAAGGCAGAGGCTTAAGGACCAAGCCACCCAGGCATCCTCCTTTTGTACCACTTTTAACGTAACAATGGCTTGTCATAATGTTCACTGTGAAGAGCCCGAAGAGCCCCACCCCCAGTTTTAATCAAATGACAGATTCATTCAGTCCAACACAAAGTTCCTGCCTAGCTAATCCTCGCAAGGTGCAGAAGTGGGTAAAAATCATGTAAGGTGTGGTGTTTGCCTAGGATGAGGGTGAGCCCCTTCTGCGGCCTCTTCCCACCAGGGATATGAAGAGACAGCAAGCAAACCCTCCCTGAGTCAACAGCTGGATTACAAACCCTAAAAAAGTGAGCTAATGAAAAGAGCTCAGGATACGCTACCCCAGAATATGATACTTTGGCCTCAGGATTATTTTGAGTTGCAAACAAGTAAGAAACAGCAGGCAAAGGAGGAGCTCTCTACTTTCCCGTTATTGGCCAGAAAACCAGGACGTGAACTTCCCTTTTGTAAAGCAAATTTTCCTTTGTAAAGGTGTCCCCCTCCCTCCACTTCCAAAACCAGGAAGAAGAGCACAACATACAACTCTTCACTCAGACATGGTAGTGAGATGAGTCTACATAAATAACACTTATCTATCATTAGATTCCCCTGTTTCCTGGTCACTTCCTACAATTCACCCCCTCTAGAAGCTCAAACCCCCCTTTTGACTATTCACTTTTCCATAATTTACCCCCTTTGTTAAAATGGTATCTAAGACCACACTTTAACCACCCCTTTGAGTTACTCATCACTGAGCATGCCTGCAAGTCTGCATATTGCATGTGTAATAAATGGGTTTTTCTTCCCCCTCTTGCTAATCTTTTGTCTGTTTGTTTGTTTATTTACTTAGTCTTTTGTCAGTTTAATTTGCAGGCCCCCAGTCACAGAACCTGAGAAGATAAAAGAAAAGGGCTTTTTTTTGGGGGGGGGGGGTTTGTTTGGTTTTTCTTCTGCTGCAGGAACTTCATCCAAATGTCCAGAAACAGAATCGGAGACTGGGGGAGGAAGGAAGGTGAACAGTTATTTCTAGCAGAAAAGCTTTCTAGATGTGATGCTCTCCCGCTGGGGCTTTGAGGAAGGCAGTCAATTCAAGAGGTTAGCTAAATAGCGGAGAAGTAAAAATTACATTGTCTTACAAGTTTCCGGGGTTAGACTCATCCATCAGAATAGTTTATATTTCCAAGCACTGCTGGTATCTTCCAATCAGGAGCTAGCTGCTGAACCTCCACCCCTTTGTGGGTCACTAACTGGCAAGACAATATGTCCTACTTCCTGCTTCCTTGTGGCCAACTTCCTGCTTTGTTCTATCTTTACCGTAATTTGTGAGATCTGGGCAGTCTTTAGGCTTGCGGTATCGTTATGTCCCAAACACTTCTCTCATGTACAGGAAAGAAAACAGTCTTTGAGCCTTGTCAGAACCAAGAGCTCCAACATTCACTAGAACCCAGTCTTCCATAGTTGTTGAGCAAGTGAAAATCATTTCAAAAACAGATAATACCGTTCCAGCTCTGCAGAAGGGCTAAATGCAAACTTTCTGTAAATCCAGAGCCAGACTGCACTTTGCACTGGGAAGGCTTATTTCTTCCAACATCCCTTATTAACATTCTTTTCCTCACAGCGCTTCTCAATGGCTGCTGCAGCTGAGCCGCTCGGCACAGATTTTCTGCTCCGCATGGGGGAGGGGATGTTAATTATGCAGAAAGATGGAGAGAGGCCAGACAGCCCCTCTGGTGAACTGTCTCATTCAAGCACGGCTCACTTCCTGCTGTTTTGCAGCTACAAGGATCACCTGTTGGTCTTGGCATCTGGCCAAACTGGGGCCTAGCGGAAATGACAGACTCAGCTAGAAATGAAAGCCAGCTCATATTCTGGCACCCTAAACTGGGGAGAGAGGAAAAAAAAAACATGCAATAGAAATGCAGAAGAATTATACAAAAGGTAGCAAGGCTCATTTTTTCTTCTCTTTCCTTATTTCTTTCAGTCTGTCTGCTTGAAATACAATCATCAAAATGGAATTATGAGCCAAAAAACATCTCCCCACTTAAATCTCCCTGACCCAAGGGACAATACAGGAAGTCCTCTTAACTTCCCTACAGTCTCACTCGGGTATCAGAGTCCTACCACCTAAATAAAGTTCTAAAGAGTATTAGCCTGAACACTTACAATTCTTTAATTCACTCCATATCCTTTCAATGTTTGGGTCCTGTATTCCTTCCTCCTTAACCTTCGTATTTCCATTCATCGTAATTCCACCAGGTGATGCTTGATAATGGAGGTATTTTCTTACTGATGCTTCTCATTCCATACATCAGTGGAGAAAAATGGGGCTGTTTAACTTATAATTACAATATCCTCTAGGTATTTATATCTTGTAACACAATTTCATTGATCCATTGATCAAATACTGTAAGTAGGCAATTCCTATAATGGTTTAACAGTCTACAAAGAATTCCACGACTGCGTGGATACGAACAAATAATTACAAGGTTTCCTAAATTAAAAGGGTAAAACAAGAAAGCTTTTTTTTTCCCCTTCTGAAAGGGGGTAAATTGGATAACCCGGAGCATACTTCATTCGATAAAGTAGACCATAAAGGTTTGCATTTCAGCTCCTCCCCCAATTTTATTTCTTCAAAAAGATATGCGGTGTTTTTGTGAGCTCGGGCTACGCTGGGGCACTTCTGGCCATTGCCTCCCTTCCTTCCACATATAGCAGCAGCCAGGCAGGTAGCAAAGTCAAAACCCCAGTAGGAGAAACCACCGCCTAATCTGCATGTCATGCATTATTCATGACCTCCTGATTCCTGCACCTGCATCTGGGCAGGAAGCTTACAGGGAGTGTTCATTATGCTTCTCTTAGCCTCACACAGGCTCGATTACTGCTAAGCCACTTTGTTCTGTAACTAAGGGTCTCAGGCCTTAGTACTAACCGCTGGATATGGAAAGAAAAAAAAAAAATCACCGCCCTAAAGAAAAGAGCAATTTGGGTTGTTGTGCAACATGCACTGAATCCTACAATGTGCTCTTCTGAGACTGACAGTGAGTGTCCGATGGAAATGCTCACATTGGGTGACTTAACGTTACATGGAATAAAGGGAAGCTGTACCAGTAAGGCCACGTATACCAACTGTTCTGTTGACACGCGTTTCCTCATCTGAAGCACGCAGCATGTTTATAATTGTGCCCAGCACAGGGCTTAATTTAGCTTCCTTGCTAAGCATGTGAGACTTTTTAAATATCTTAATACAAAAATGGTTCTTCCTTCTTTGGATATAAGTCCAAAGAAACTGACTCTCAAATCTTGTAATTTAACGACTGACATTTGTAGTCTATCAAGAGGATACAATCGCCCAGTTCTTCCCAATGGTTTTATGAACCTTCCTGAATAGCTGGTGGCTAGAGGCAGGAGACAAAAGCCAATACTCACCACAAATTACTCATGACTAATGAACTACTGGGGGAAGATGTCATCTACTTTTTTAGTATCCCCACCACAGAAAAGCTAGGCCAACTTAAATCCAATCTTCTAGCCCCAAATGAAAATAGAATGATGTGGTTAAGAGTACAGACTGTGGAACCAGCCTGCCTGGGACTGAATCTGAGCTCCACTGTTTTCCAAGAGGGTCATGTCATCTTAGGGTGAGAGCCACCTAACCTCTCTGGGCTTCAGTTTTCTCATCTGTATAAATGGAGGCAGTAATGGCGGCCATCTCCAAGGGCTGTGAGATTTAAATGACTTAACAGTTGTCAAGTGTTTAGAACAGTGCTTGGGACCCAAGAAGCAGTCAATACACGTTTGCTATTATCCCTAGCAGTGTTGATTGGATTGGAAAGGAGGGGAAGATGAACCTGGAATATATGGCTAATTCCAGGGTATTGAGACGACAAATGTGCTTTACAGACCTGCAATCTTAACTACCATGTTTATATGACTTCACTAAAGGCAAAGAAGTAACAAAGAGAAATGAACACATATAGAGTAATAAGAACCGACTACTGTGATTTCTATGATATGGCTTATTCTCTGACATGGAATTTTTCTGTTCTTTATTAGAAAATCTATCTTCTGTTTACTAAATTACATGATATTTCAGTTACATCCCGTTCGAGAACAAGTCAGTAATCACACCAATACAAAATCACTGCTTTAATGCTGTGTGCCACACACCATACTAAGCACATCAGACACATTATCTTATTTTATCCTCATACCCTTATTGTTCATATTTCTTCAGAAAATAGGCTTACAAGAGTTAAGTAACTCACCAGAGTGACACAGCTAGTGAACAGCAAAATTGGAACTTGAACACAGTTATGTCTGACTTGTCCTACTCCACATTATCATCCAATCCTATGAACTCATACATATTCTCCCCACACAACCCTAAAGGATGCAATAAAGTGAATTAGCACCAGGGGCTTCAATGAGAGATTTTACATGTATTTAAGACCAATTGCATATCTTATAATTAAATAAATGCAAAGTGAATGTACTAGTTTTTGACCTAAAATCGGCCCTGGATGAAACATGAAGCATCTGGGTACTCAAAAGAAAGTCATAGTAACTACTGATCTCTTTTTAACTGCTTA